ATTCAAATGGCAAAATCGAAACGTTGCCGCGCGTATCAATAGCCCCGCAAAAACACGTTTCGCTGCTCTCCCGTTTTTTTACATTGTACCCGTGGAAATCGTGTGAACTTTAATCGAGCGTTTTCGAGGCGAGAATCAACCAGAGACGTGACAGTGAGCGAATGGCATAACGTTGCTCGTGTTCAATGTATTGATTTATTTATTTATTTTCACTGGTTATGGAATGATTTGGTATGCAGTAAATAGTAAATAAAGGATATAATAAAATAACGGATGTAAATAGAGAAATACAGTAAATCATCAATGAGTGTTCGATGGCACCTCGGCACTGAACGTTAAATGTTTCATAAACTAATGGCTTTATGTGGCTGAAACAAATATCATTGGCTTCAGAATTACAAGCTTAATGTACGTATACATGTATAATAATAATTTTCAATAATTAGGATGGGACCATCAACATTGCTGTGCATCGAGCCAATCGCGTATTTTATCTCACGGTAAATAAATAAAATCTCATGGAAACGCATGCCACGAGACGAAGCAAAAAATATCTGAAAATGCGAATGGATTCGTGCAACGCGTAACAGAGACGGATTTGCGGGTCGACGAAGGGGAGGGGGGATCACTAATGCAGCCAGTATCACGCGTTTTAGCTTCCATCGAATATTCAATATCATGCCCGGCGAATGCTGCTCATGGATGAAATGAAGGATTTATTTTCGCAGATATAACGATAAAATCGGCGTGTTGAAATATAAAAGAGACTGCCGGACGTTGATGTCTCGAAGGGGGCAGGTCCAAGGACAATATGGCTAACGAGACGTGCGTTGCACACACTCTTGCGCCAATTTCGTCGATTTCTTGGCGCTTTTCATCCTGGGATCGTTAATAATCGCTTCACACCTTTCTTCAACGTTTTTTTGAACAATTTTTTTTTTCAACCTGAAATTTTAGTAATTTTTTTAATTTATGATTTTATTTCGTAAATTCTTCTATTTTTATATCCTACAAAAGTGTTTATGGAATTTTTACTTAATGAACGTGGGGATATTTGCGATTTATACTTTCCCGAGTTTAATTAATTGCCATTGAATTAATATACTTCTGCTCTAGAAATGCATTCGGGGACCGTTTCCATCGGACGTATTTATTATTATGAATTCATTGGACCGGAGAAAAATGAACAGGAGGATCAATTAGGGAATATCAACACCCACGTGGGGATGTATTGTACGTTTGGTTAACGTATTACTTTAACGCTAGCCGCTCATTTTGCCCCCAAAAGAGATTTAACTAATGACGTTCATTAAGGATTCACGGTGATTTTCTGAACGCCGCGGTTAATCAAACGTTGGAATATAATTCTCGTAATTGTGCTATAGATTGTAGAATTTAAGAAGCTTTATGGAATATTGAAGGCTCCATTCGGTTTTTGAATTTCGGGAATTCGTCGTCAATAATTGCGAGAACGGCACGATCGAGTAATTTGATTAATTATTGTGGTGGGTGAAACGTTATACAAACTTGTTGCTCTCGTTAAACAAACATTTCATTTTGTCTGGTACTGTTCGAGCCATTATTTATTAATGAGTATTAGTAATCATTTTCGATAAGTACTGCATTCTCTCTCTATAAGCACAGTCCACTCATGCTTCGCCATTCGCATAATATTATGGGACCATTGACAGTGGGCGGGGCTTGTCTCGAACTATCCAATAACGAGCGTGGGGAGGGCTAAGAGGTTACTACTCTCTATAGTCACGTTGTAAGTTCCAATCGACGCCCCTATAAAAAGGGAATGCTGTATCTGCAAAGTATACAGGGTGTCCCACGTGAGCAGCTTCAATATTACACTTGTTTTTGAAGATACAAAAAAATGCGAGGAGAAACTATTATTTGGTTAGAAGAAACAAATACACTATGATAAACAAACATTTTTCTCAACATCATATTCTTCAAAATTTCAAGCTTATCGATGTTTTTCTAACGGGACTTCATATTTTTATCAACTTAGCGCAATAGTTGAGATCAAGACCAATTAAATGACCTGTAATAGTATGACATTTATGTTACCTTGAGTGTGAAAAATCCTCCGATGTATGAGAGTATATTTAAATAATAAAAAATATATGTGAAAGGAACCTTATGAGTTACACGGTTTTAAGGGTGTATATAAAAAAATTAAACAGTGAGTAAAAACATAAACAAAAAAATGCACTAAATAATATAAAATATGGTCATATATGTCATACCTATGAAAATTATGTTTCACTTTTTAGTGCACTTTTCTCTTATATTTATTTTTTATTTTCTATTTAATATTTTTTATATACATATTTAAAACTGTGTAAACCTAAGAAGTTTTTGTTATGTATATTTTGTACTTTTTAATGTTTCTCGGTTTTGTAATAAATTTTTCGAGAGACTTGTATTGAAACCAAGCTTCTAGCATTTATTAACAAAACAAATGAGATACTAAAGGTGCTCACGTTATGTGGGACACCGTTAAAAAATACATGAACTGGATAAGAATCGGTCATGCAATTAATCCAAACCTCGTATAACAAAAAAACAGAAAATTCACAAATTTAGTTGATGAACATAAAATTTACAGATTATTCTGAATTGTTAACCATTTCTAAAAGGTATCCACCCGTTAGATGTACAGACTCCCGCCAATTATTTCCCAAAATCACAGCTAGAAGGATATTCCGGTAGTTTCTAAAAGGGTCGATGTAGACGGTTGTTCGATTTTCCCTGGCCGAAAGCCCCCGGAGCGACGAACGTGTACAGTTGAAATTCCGGTTTGTATCGCTGCAACCAGTCGCAGCAGTCATGTTCGCCGGCGAGAGGCCGCGGGGCTAATAATCGCGCGAGGGCCTCCGTACCGAACCCCTCGGGCGTCATTGTCATGCATTTTGCTGGGCGGCGGGAACGGTGGTCGAACGATTGCATTAATAATACCGGGGGCATATATTTGTGCTGATCAGCAGTTTCGTCATCACCTGTGTGAATTCCCATTGCCCCCCCCCCCCCCGACGGTGTACTCGGAACAATCCTGGGACGCACAGATCTTGCTGATGAGGGGCTTGTAGAGGTCAACCTTTCGATTAATTTGCTTTTCGAGGTTGAGCCTTTGTGTTTTGTGTAATTTTATTATTTATTTCTATAGTTTTTCTCTCTTGAGCTACTCTTGAAAATATAGGGTGAGTTGATTTTTGTTTGTTTGTGATATCAAGGTGACCTTGTGTTTTTTCAAGGTCAATTACTCTGTTTGTTAAACTCACGTTGTTGCCAATAGGAGGACGAATTCAACGACCTATCGCATGATGGTATAAACAAAAATTCTGTGACCTTCAAAAACGTCAAGGTTACGTTTAAAAAAAAGAGATATAAAAAGTAAAATTGTATCTATCTGATGCGTCCCTTAAAATGTGATATCATTCGTTAAGGTTTCTGATATAACTAATAGGTGTGAGTTATTTTAGATAGTAGTTATTATGGACTCACCCTGTATAATTCTGACATCCTTGGAAATCCAAGGTTTTGGTTCTGTACGCATAATCCCATTTGTCGAATTAAACCTAGTGAGTTTGAATAATGCAGTGTTTAATTTAACCGTCGACAGAAATATTAAATGCACTTTTTCTGCAATTTTTAGCGTCGGTGAGTTATGAAACCGACGGAGACCAGTCGCGGCGGAACCCCCGTTGAAAATAGAAGCGGTGTGCACTGTAATTTTTTAATTGCCTCTCGAGGACAAAGACAGAACGGGTATACAGTTAATTAAAGAGATTTTTTGATCCTGGTTATTGGGTAAAGTAGAAATCTGATTGTACGGTTCTTGACAAGCTTTTAATTACATTAATGAAAACAGGATCCCGCCTGAAATAAATTACCTGCATTACCTGCAGGGACTGGTACTTACGTAATGTCTGTAAAATACATGCCCCATGTTTGAAAGCCAAAGGCGAAAAAATGAGTATTGAATACCCTGTACGAAACGAATTTGTAATATGTTTCATTGCTGTTCAGAACTTGACCGAAGTAAATTTTATTGACAAAAATATTTCATTAATAATTGTTCGAATTGGGTCCACAAGGAATAGAATTGTTTTTATTTTTATTTTCACAATAATCTCATCACGAGTGATTTTCTATCCTTTGCCACTGTATGCCAGCCTCTGTCATTGACCTGTGACGACACCATCTTCAGTTCAGCCATTCCGTCGTAAAGTCAATTTTAATATTTAAATCTCGCGCCATATGTTGAGGTCGCACCACTTTTGTTTTTGTCGTTCTTTCGTTATACAATATACACATCGTCGTTTCCTTCATTCAAAGGACAGATTTTTAACGAGTTATATTTCAGAATTTCTCAATTCATTGAAGTTTCATTCTTTTTTTTTTACATATTAGGGTAACCTTGAGTCTTTCTAAGATCAATGCATTATTTTTTCAACACCACGTTGTTGTCGATGAAAGAACGAATTCAGCGACCTATAGCATGACGTTCTTAAAAAACATGATGCATTGACCTTGAAAAAAACTCAAGGTCACTTTGATGCCTCAAAAAAAAGTATGATACAAAAAAATCGAGTTGTATCCATCCAATGCGTTCCTTAAAATGTTACGTGATTCGTTAAAATGTTTTCTGGTGCAACCAATAGATAACGAGTTATTTTAGATAGTAGTTCTTATTCACTCACCCTGTATATAATTAGTTAATATTAAATTTAATTGTGTTATATTTATCGTAAGAGTAAACATTTATTGAAGTAATTTATGATTACTAAAAGTAGGATTTTTCCTCACAGATTCTCAAACTAGTTTAAAAGCGCTCCACTATCGGTGACTGCTTCAGTATAGGTTCGTCGCCAGACCCGTCTGGAGTCCTTATATCGAGGCATCGCCCATAACTACTTTGTAACAATACCCATCTGCTACATACATTTATATAACCATAATTGACCAGATTATTATGTTTTCTGTTGCAGATATTCACACGGTTCGGCAAGGTCCTGAAGATCGTCACATTCACCAAGAACAGTAAGTACACGATCTTCCTAACAACGAAATATTAATTCTGGGGCTACCCTGTATATAGTCGCGGCTCTCGTGGGGCAGACATGCCACGGCACTTTAGTACTTCAGTGTGCTTGAAGTGTATTCCAGGCCGAGGACGTCGACGCCGCAGCCTGCGCGCACTCGGTGCCGTTAGTACTTTCAGTATTGCGCTCGAGTGTTGCAATGGGTGTCTCGAAAGCACCTGTTTTCATGTTTCTGTTTTTAAGGCGGACGGGGAAACCTTTCGATACGTGCCAGAAAAATCGTACGTGTGTGTATTTTCTAGATTCACATACTTTTAGGCTTTTAGCTACTCTTTGGTAGAAAAAAATCGAACAATCTCTTAAATATCGATTTATTCTTCATTTTCTAGTATAAAGGAATTTTTATTATTAATATTGTCAAATGCTGTGAATACGTCTAGGTTATTTGTTTGGGTTCGGATGATATCTAGACATTTTTTTCTGACGTCATATTTTTTACAGAGTCGTAAATAAAAGTGTCAAGTTATGGGAATAATACGAACAATGTGCAGGGGGCCATAGGTGTGATCGGCAGCAATTGTTTCGTACAGTTCAAAGAAGGACGCGTTCAATTAAACGACCGTCCGTCGAACAAAAGGAGCGCGTCGAATTTTTCAAAGAACGTTCGGACACAAATAGTCGTTGATTGGCGAAATCAAGGGAGGCATAGGTCCCAAATTAAAGCCAAGGCGGGCGCTCGCTCGACCCCCCGGTGTCCAATTAAAGTTTCATTCGGTCAAGTGGTTGCTGCTCGCCCCGTTCGATCTTCATATCTTTTTTCATCCTCTTTTTCAACCCTGTCCCAGGCCACTTGCCGATTCGATTCCGCGGCAATCTCTACTTTTATTTTCGACGCCAGCCAACCGCGACCTATATCACAATTTTCCATGTTTCGAAGGTTCGTCGAGAGAGATACTACAGGAATTATTGTTAAAAAAAAAAATACGTTTCTCGGTCGATCACTTTTCCGATGAAATATTCATGATTTGGAATATTAATTAATATGGCTGCAAATGTTAGTAGTAATTTCTAGGTTAATTTTTTTTTAGCAATTTTAACGTGCTGCACTCGATAAATATTGCGAAAGGAACTGTGTGTTGCAAACGAGTCGCGTCCCTGTAAGTCGTCCCTAAAGTTTCGACGAATCATACGTCGCTCAATGTGACTTGTGGGCGGCGCTAGACGCTCCTCCCACTCTAGCACCCGCGTAGAGGGGGACGGTAGACGCAGACGGTGCCACTTGCAGTCTCCAGTGGGGGGAGCCGAGTTAAAACATCCTATTGGTCAAAGCTCGAACTTTCTTTTCTGAGAAAACGATACAGTTTTGGTATACGATTCTTCTTGAATATTTTCTCTCCTTTTCGAGTACAACATGTTAACATAAAAAAATATTGGTTCTTGGAAGGAAAAAATTAGATAGTCCAATTTACATTCATAAATCACTTTACAAGTCCCTTTCTGCCCTCCCCCATTTATTATATTTTTTTTTAACATCAATGAAAGACTCGGGCCCCCTGGGGTGTTTTCTGTTGCGTTTATCGAGGAATGTCGAGCACGAATTTTAATTTGAGAGTCACCTGTACTCCTGTATTGCGATGTTATAAGCTCGTGCTTTAAATTAAAAACACACGCACAAGTCCCCATTCTGCCCTCCCCCATTTTACGCTCCTTCCGCGTGAACAGGGTGGCCCCGGGGGCACCGGAGATTCGTATTTTTCATTTCATTTCATTTGAAACACATTTCAAAAGCGGATTCGCCCTGCAAACAGCCCTGGCTCTCTCGCACCGCCTTCTTCGCCTCTGTCTTTGATTCGAAATTTGATGAGCGTCACGTCCGGTTATTTCTTTTTGTCCCTGTCGTGAGTTTTAATGAAACGTAGCGGTGAGTATTGTCGAAAAAGCGACCTTTTTCCTTTGACAGATTTCTGCACGGTTGCACCATAGTCAACCGAGTGTCGGTTAAAAAAATTCTGCGAAAGAAAAAGAGGAAGTAATTTACGTCTAGTACTCCGAATAATTAAAATTCGTGGAAATAGACGAATCCAATTCTATTTTAAAAAAAATTATCCATTTGAGTTTCATGGGGAAAATTATTAAGGGGAAATACCACTGTGACGGTCGAGAAAGAAGTTTTTTTTAAGAATTCTTCGTCAGAAATAACTTATAGAAGAAATAACTTGTTTTACCTAGTTTTAGTACCATGTCTTCAGAGATTAAACAAAAAATTAATAAAAAAGCATCGAGAAATTTTAATATACGATTAATTTTCTAGACCCCTCACGAAAAAAAGAAGGTCGCTGGTCGAATATGTAACGTCGAAACAACAGCTCTGAAATCAAATGTAACATTTGTTTATAAACTGTACCAGATTAGTTTCTGTTACACGTACAGGTTTTTTAACCAAAATTAGTTTTTTAAAAATGGCGCGCTTTAGGAAACAAAGTTTCAAAGAATCCGCAAAAAAAAGCGACAGTTCTTCGAGAGCATTTACCGATTTTTAATTTTTTTCGACTGCTCCCCCTGGGTACGTATCTCGCGAGGAATATTTATAGCGTTAATGTTCAAATTTCATCTGCATAAAAACACCGGTCGAACGTTTTCTTGCGGATATAATGCGACAACGGGATATATAGTCTTGTTTTTTTTTTTTTTTTCAAATTTTGTTTTAGCCGGCAGCAACGTTATTCAATTTCCATCGTTATTTGATCGTGACGCGAATAGCGGTGATAATAAAAATTCTCCGCGGAGGAAAAAGTGTCCGGTGTCACAACATATTACCGCGAATCGTGTGCACCCTTTATTTTCATTTAACTCCTGCTTTATTTAATATCCCACCGCCGACAGGGAAACGCAAACACGACCCTGCATTTGGTTTTTGGATACGAAACGACGATCGCACCCACCCCCAGAACATTACAATTTTTATCGAAAAAGGAATAATTTTGTTTTTTGGATATAATACACCAATGAAAAATTTCATGTTTATATTCTCTTGGCAATTAAGTTCAATATTTGTTGTACATACAATCCATTTTGTACATCAAATGTTTTTTTTTATATGATTGGAAAAATATTACTTTTACAAAGGCTTTTTAGAACTCTACATTTTCTGGTTTCTACTGTTTTTTCAAAATATAGTTATTTCTGTACAAATAGAAGTTCTATTGCTCTCGGTGTAATATTTTCTCTGTTGGATATATGCTCTACACATTTCGTTACATTTTTTAATTGAAAAAACAATATTCCAATTAAAAATTGGCCCTACATTTGAAGTATACAAATACGTCCTTTAAATTTTTCCACTTAACTTCAAACTTTCATAGTTATATTAAATGTCGCAGCGGTACCGGTGTCATATAAAATAAATTCAGACGTCAAATAGTACCGTCGACGTGAACGTAATTAATTCGGTGTTAACCCTAAATCACTACACTATCCTGTAACTCACGTTACAACTAATCATTCTTAAAAATTACGACTATAAGAAAACGCATAATATTTTGGATAAATACTATTTTTATTGAGATAGAAACCTACGTCACAAGCATTTATGATACACTTAAAAATAATGAAAAATTAAGAATATATACTCTAAACACAGAATTGCAATGAATTACAAATTCGAGGTCTTAATGTTTTACGATAGTAAACTTTTTTTTAAACAAGATATCAATGTTTAACGTGAATTTAATATTCTTCTTTTCCTCTGTTTCAGGTACCTTCCAGGCACTAATACAATACGCGGACATGTTGTCAGCGCAGACTGCTAAACTCGTGAGTATCCACTTTGGTTCTCTCCATCCCCACGTTTCTATATTTTCCAGATGCAGGTTCCTTTTTTTTTTTTTTTTTTTTTTTTTTTTTTTACCAATCCTTCGCTTTTCGTACTTTCGACGACGCGTATGGAGGCTGTGTCTCGAGGCGCGTTCGTGGGTATATACCACTTAACCCAGCGGCGGTGGTCCCCGTGGGACAGATCGACATTTTTCGTGGAATATTCCCAGAAACGCCGTGCCATCCATTAAAAGCTCCAGCTGTTACGACGGAAATAATGCAAATTCGATATCGCGGCTCGCTCTACCGCTCTCGCTCGCATGCCGTGACGTCACCCGATTCCCGGAATTGCACTGTTTTTATTTACAGGAAAGAATACGTCGTGTACCGGGAACCGTCTCGGGCTTATTTGCATCGCCGAATTAGGTTTACCTCCGCCCGTTCCTGACGAATTATTACTATACAGTGACAAACTGGATTCATTAAGATCCAGTTGGATCAGCTCGATCGCAGCATCGTTTTTTGCAAAGTTAATCTTGAGATCCAAATGAATTAATAGTGGGTTTTGTGCATTTAGGTTGGACGGTAATTTTCTCGACACCCTGTATAGGAAGAAGTATAGCCCAGTAAATCCTCGATGATTGTCCAAAGGTTCCTCGGCACTGGACATTAAATATCCCACAAACTAATGGCTATATGCGGGTGAAACAAATATAACTAATTCGAGCACTCATCGAGAATTTATTGTATATTCTAGTGTGGTTATGTTACTTGAAAGATCATGATTTGAAGAGTGCTGACAGAAAACATTGTAAGTGCCAACCAAAATTCTATGCTGAAGTATTTTCATTGGCAAATAAAAGTTATTCGATGAAAAAAAAACAAATTTTTTCAATTTTGGTACTTGCAGTGTTTTCCACGAACATTCCTCAGTTGTGTTAGAATAAATATCCAAAATCTGATTGTAGGATTACTAATGTAAAAAGAATCATCAGTATTTATGAGACACCCTGTATAGAGGCTGCAAACAATCCGTTTCATCTAAAGTTTTCGCTATCCACAGCCATGATAGCTGTACTATTAGAACCATTTATCCCCCTCGAAAGGTACACTTTGAAGTGAAAACTGTCGTCAAATAGATTTATAAAAAGGTCCAGGTTAGTCTGTGTACAAAGTCACCAGCAAAAGCTAGGTGAAAAAGTTGCATGAACCGTTAATGCGTCGGAGGACCATTTTGGTTTTTTTTCTGGTCTCCCGTTTTTTTTTTCCGACCAACCGTGCATCGAATTCAGATTGATCTGTAATGCATTTTACACAAACCGCGGGAAAAGCCACAGGAAAAGCCATGTGTAAGCCCCAAGTACCTGGGATTTGCTATACGCCGGTCCAACTTCGCTAACGAATAACTTGCCGAAAAAGACGAGACACAGAGAGAGTGAAAAAAGAAAGGCAAATACAGAGTCGAAGCGGATACGAGCGCCCCGAGGCACAAACATATATCATAAATCAACGTATTTTAATCTGGCCCGTAAGCCCACTTCGTTAAAACTTTTCCCACCGCCCGTGCGGCGAAAAAAATGCAGCCTCACGTGAGGTCGTTAATTATCCGAAATTGTGATCACGGGAATAAAACTTCGGCCTAATGATAAAAATAAATAGAAAATCTAGTCCCATGGGCGGTGGATGCACGTGCGCGTCTGTGTGAAAAAATTTGTCGAACGACGTCGACCGTTTTCCCCGTCGAATTAATTCACCCTTTGATGACGGCTGGCTTGGTTTGCGGTTTTCGGCTCGCAGTGGAGAGCACTGGCACAACTTTCGACTCCTGTTTTCGGCCCTCGAAACAACGCTACGACCGCCGCAAATAAGCTGTTGCAGTTAATTTGCCCTGTAAAGAGCCGTTCGTTACACTAGAGGGCGGGCTTCTACGGTTCTCTCGGTGTGTGCAGTGTGATTTGGACGATGGAGGATAGTTAAACCGTGGCGTTCACAATAATTGGGTACGTGGGAATGTTCTACGATATATCCTCGTTATATGCTACCTGATCGGGTCTAGCGTGTAATCAGTCTTTGGCCTTTAACTCGTTTAGCTCTGAAGTAGATATAAAGAAACAAGGGAGGGGAATTTCATCGAGCTTACTTTAAGTTAATGTCACGCAAAAGGAAACTGTCCTCTTGCACAATTAGTATTTTAGGAACTTCTGGTTTATAGGGTGAGATCAACCATTGTTTATCACTTTACCACCTACTAATAACGGTATGTTTTTCATTACACCAGAGGATCTTGGCCTGACCCAAAGTGAGCTCATCAGCTAACCTGGGTATAACCTAACCCATAACTTAAACCAGATTTGACTCATAACATAACCCAGAATTAACTCATAACATAATCTAGGACAGTTCATAACCTAACCAAGGACCAGTTCACAAGCTAATCTAGGACTAGTTTCTAACGCAACCTTGGATTAACTCATAGGCTAACCCTAGACTACCTCATAAACCTGACCCAGAAGTAGCTGTCAGATTAACCTAGAAGGAGCTCATAGACTAACCAAGAAGGAGCTAATAAGACTAACCCAGAGGTAGCTCATAGACTAACCCAGAGGTAGCTCATAAACTCACCCAGAAGTAGCTCATAGACTAACCCAGAGGTAGCTCATAAACTCACCCAGAAGTAGCTCATAGACTAACCCAGAGGTAGCTCATAAACTCACCCAGAAGTAGCTCATAGACTAACCCAGAGGTAGTTGATTGACTAACCGAGAAGTAGCTGATAAGACTAACCCAGCGGTAGCTGGTAGACTCATCCAGAGGTAGCTCATAGATTAACCCAGAGATAGCTCACAGACTAACCCAGAGATTGCTCATAGACTAACCCAGAGATTGCTCATAGACTAACCCAGAGATTGCTCATAGACTAGCCCAGAAGTAGCCGATAAACTAGTCCAGAAGTAGCTCACAGACTAACCCAGAGGTAGCTCATACACTAACCCAGAGGTAGTTGATGATTGACTAACCCAGAGGTAGTTAATTGATTAACCGAGAAGTAGCTGATAAGACTAACTCAGCGGTAGCTGGTAGACTTATCCAGAGGTAGCTCATAGATTAACCCGGAGATAGCTCACGGACTAACCCAGAGATAGCTCATTGGCTAGCCCAGAAATAGCCGATAGACTAGTCCAGAAGTAGCTGATAGATTAACCCAGAAGTAGTTCATGATCTAATCCAGGCTCAGTTTATGACCTAGTCCAGGTTCAACTGAAGATAATTAATAGTTTGGTCGAAGGCTTTACCATTTTCCAATAATAATAATGTTTTTATTACAATACAGAAACGAAATATACTTCGAAAACGAAGAAACGAAGATAAAGATGTAAGATACAGTGTAATTTACTCGAAGGTGTTCTAAGCGATTATAAATAGGTTTCGAAGTCAATTAAGGTAAACCAATAATGAAGGTAGCCTAACTTGAACTTCTCTGAGCTGTTTGGGCCCGTGTACCGCTTCCGTCAGTGGAAATTTAATTAGCCACCCGCGGAATATTTGTACGAAGTCTGTCAATCGCTATCAAACTCACTACTAAATTGCTACCACGCCGAAAATTATACCGATTAAATGTCAATATCGAGCAATCGCTACACAAAAGCCGCGTCTGATCCACGGTATCGGCGGAATTAAACGGGCGAGCGCCGAAACCCGATAAAATGAAGCCCCTGGAACTCGCGAACGTTTATTAATCACCGGAGAGAAAAATTCACGTGGCCCGATAGTGGTGGCGTGTGCGCGCACGCGCGAACCGTTCCTTTCCGCGGCCAGGAATTCTGTAAATCAGATGCCCGATCCCCGGGAAATATTTCTGTAATTAGCGTTGCACCGGAGTAATGCGGCTGGCACGCGAAAAATCGACGGAGAAAGTATGCACGCGAGTAAATAATATCGTGCGATATTCTGGCAAGTATAGTATGCGCAAAATACAATTTTACTGTCGAAATTGTTGTTCTGAAAACGTGCTATTAATTCTGGTATTCTGCCACAGTGGATGTTAAATTCACGTTACATCGAAGCCAATTATTTATGTTTATTGCACCTGTAAATACGAATTATTTTAATGATTCCGTCATACCAAAAGATTTGTCGGGAAAATATGAAGCGATAATGTAGAATGAAGTTTTCTTATACGAGGCCTCGTTTTTGAGATAATCGATTTTGAGTTTTCTGCGGGTGTGCGAGGGAAACACTGATGGCTGTGGTTCTCAACATGTACTTACCACTTTTACCTCAGACCTCTTTTACTCGGGAACGGATCGTTGTATGTAAAAAGTTTAATTTATAATTACGACTTGTTTTCTCATAAAGAAACGTCGCCCAATAACAGTAGAGTGCTGTTTAATTAATTCGATCAAAAACATTGTATTTTATCGTGTTTTTTCACGGTACTTTCATAAAAAGCATTAAATTTCACGGCGTGCTGGTTCAGACATTGGTTAAAGCACGTTTAAAAATTTAGTTTACTCGTAAAACTTGAAAGCCAGCTTTTACATTTTTTCCCGGTTTTGCCTTATGCTTCCTTCGTTTTCTTATTTCTGGATTTGCTTTTTCACGGGAATCCTCTTAGATGTGACTCGTGGTTCTATCAGCGAACGTAATCGATCATAGTATATCGAACTTACAGCCGCAATTGAAGAAAAACGTTATGACATCATTTTGAATGTTTTATTCACTGAATTTTCAATTATCGTTTAAGAAAGAATAAAACATTTGAGACACTTGTTATTCACAATTGCATTAACATATTTATCGAATTGCAGTTCAGGCAAACAACGTATGTATCATATTAAAGTTTATTCAATGAAAAATTGATAAAGCAATTATTGCACACGGTAGAGTATAATGACATACTCAGGTTTTCTCATTTTCCTCCTTTTTCAACGTGGGCAAACGGTCGTCCGGGTAATTCACGGCAGTGTAAATTTTGCAAGCAGTTCGATTGTTTGCATTTCCCTT